TTTTAAATTATATTGAAGACCTTCATTTCACATCATAAAAGTTAAAACTTGGAACTACATTTTTAGGTCGCATTTTCCAGTGCGCACAACTCTTAGAAACTTTGAAAATATACGAAGAAAAAATAAATTATAAGATCAAATCATGTAGCAGCGAGTGGAAGACCAAACTTTACAAGATGAAGGCAAAAAACTAAGAATAAATTGTTGAGCTAATATCTAAAGACTTCTTATACAGTGATATGAGAGTAAAAAAGTTCACCTGCCTTCATACGCAATAATACGTACCGAAAAATGCATTTGTAAAATAAATTGTGGTAAAGAATCAGTTTCGCTATATCCCAGCTATTCGAACAACACAGTGGGGATATGAACTTGGCAATCGCATTCTATGCTCGAACAATTTATTAAATGCACGACAAACGGAATGAATCGGGCTGCAATTTATGTTCATTCAACACGTACGAAATTATTGTATCGTCATTATCGAGGAGCCTCCTCGAAGTAGAATAGATAATTTTTTATAATTATATAAAAAAACTACCCATATATAATCTCCATAACAATATCCAAGCTGGCAAAAATTGAACAATAGTATTAAATGAATCACGAGCTTAAATATCGCTTCCAGGAATGATACAAGTTGCCTTGGCACCTTCAGCTGATACCTGTCAATTTTATTTAATTGAAAAAATCACTGAATACTTTGTATATGAAGTTGTAATATAATATTAATTTGTATAATGTTTCTAAGTGAGTGATATTTGTATATTTGTTACCTTTAAAACTATCCTACAATAAAATTAGTCATGTGATTTTTCAGTACAATCATAATTAATGAACAATAAAATTAATTAACATAACTTTGCCCATCTTGAAAGCCTAGGTTATGTGAGCAGCGGTCAGAAGTTTAATCAAATAAACGAAAGGTCGAGTTGTTTTTGGCTTTTGCATTAGCAGGCTCGAAGCAGTTAAACAATTCTATTATGAAAGATACATTCTTCCCAAACCAGTCGAGTGAAAGCTAATAGAATTACGGGTGGCTAAGCTAAATTCAACAATAAAGTATTCCAGTCCTAATGCGATTGAACTTATTTAAATTAAACTATGAATTTATGAGGGGGAAGGGACTGAGTGGAAAATAGATTTCATTGAAACTATAAATTTCATTAGAATTTAGGCGTCCAAATGAATTAATTATTAGTATTTTCTGAATTTAGGTAACTTTATAACTCGAAGAGTAATCTATTTTTGGAATTGCAATTTCCGTTAAAGTAATACACAACCATCCAAGCTTAGGTTCTGACGAAATTTTTACAATGATGTTTCTTTGTGGCAGAAAATAATTTTTTCCCTTGTATGAAAAAGTTTTTTTTCGTAGAATTTTCTTTTATGAAATTTTTTACTCCAACTGTTCGAGAACGAAGTACTGTTAAAAAACTAATTTTCCGTTGAAGGAATGCGTTCAATAATGCTATATTCACATCACATAATAGAGCAAATTGTTGATATTCCATCTTGGGACATGGTGTAGATGATGAACTTCTAGGTCGAGTGTAGCCAAATACCGCCCTGGAAACATATCAATAACTGTTCTGTTGCTTATGCTTTCGAAAAAATCTTCCCAGATACATAAGGTTCGAAAAAATGCTGCAATGGTGAGGGCAGATGCTCACTTAAAGTCATTCGTACAGAGGGATTCCCTCTTTTACGGAGGCAGTAATCCGTTGATTTTCATTTATGATGTGCGATACAACAGCTCTTTGGACGACATGTTCTTGGCAGGCTGAGGGTCTCGTTTGCTGTCACTGCAAAGCCCCGCTTGATGACATCGCACATAAAACTCTTGCCCAACGCCATACAAAACAAATGAGGCGTCTCAACGCTATATCAAGAATCGTCTGAATGCCTCACTTTGCTAATGACATCGCAGTGCCAATATGCAATTTCCTATGTGATTTAAATCATTATTATTTTTCAAACAATCATGAGTTTGGGGTTGAGACTATTTCATGAAGGTCAAGTTAGGATAAAGTATTTTCAGGTTCCTATGGAAATAAGGTCCCGGTTTCTTTGCGTTATTATTCAATAGAGATAAAAAGACTACATGGAAATTTAATTCGTTGAAGTGTGGGGGTTCTTAGAAACGTGTAATTGTTCTGCGCTAGCAAGAAATGATAATACGAAATTATATTCTTTTGAGGCTAAATCCATTAAAAGAACAGGTGCTTAAATGGCGTCGTCATCGAATTGTGACATTTTTTAGCTCTAGTATAGTTGCCTCCATTCCAGGAATTCTCAGGCGCCCATAGAACGTTCCGGTACATCAGGCATTTTAATTCATTAAGTGACACGACGAGATAATTTTCTCGTTGATCTTGTGTTCATTTGTCGCTGACAACAAACATGTCCGTCTTACGTGGACGGCGCTGGAGGCGAGGCCAGAAAAATGATCCCTGCTCGTTTTTGCGACTCACGCGCAAGAAACTAATGTCAAGCAGAGGAAAAATGAACTAACTTCTGAGCTGCCATAAAGATTACTTCAGCTTCTCTGCCTTTGTGAACAATGAAAGTATGCATAATATGAGAGCAGAAATATGCATGCATTTTCCTCCCATACAGAAGATATTACATGATAAGCATGCACTTTTATTTCCAACTATATACTAGGAACAGTTTTAAAGAGAGTATATAGTAATGAAATACAATTTGAATGGGTTATAATTATTATTACTATCATTATGACGTTTTAAAGGAACCGTTTAGTGCACATTTGTTAATTTTAGGCAATTTATTAACCAGTAAATTAAATAGTTTGATTTTTTCGGTAATATTGGCGGCCAACAATTTCCTATTCGTTATCAAGAATTTTTTATTTATTTTTATTTATCATTCATCCATTTATGGTAACAATAGCATGCACACTAGCTTTTGAATTCGAATTTTGAATGTATTTCCGCAACGCAGTTTTGAATTTTCTGCAGTCAGCCTGAGTTTTGGTGCTGTCAGCCCAGTTGTCGTGCTGTCAGTCGCAGCAGAAGAGCCGTCATATAAAACCCTGCTTACTGACGTTTTCTCAAGCCATTCTCAATAAGATCTTTGCTTACTGTTCATCGTAACCGCAAACAAGTCTTTGCATTTTTAAATTTCACTACTTTTATCTGCACACTGTTCTTTCCATGGAGTACTAGCCAATTTTATTGATATAATTAATAGCATACAAAACTCAGTCGATTAAAAAAATTGATGTATCATTGAAGCGATTAGGCCATGTTTTTTATTGTTGCTAGATGATTTACTTCATAAATGTGGTTCATCGTTTTGAATTATATTGATATAATTAATTCAATAATCTCTAATAATAATCGAAATTTTCTGCAGTCAGCCTGAGTTTTGGTGCTGTCAGCCCAGTTGTCGTGCTGTCAGCCGCAGCGGAAGAGCTGTCAGATAAAACCCTGCTTACTGACGTTTTATCGAGCCATTTCTGACAGCCATCAACAATGTATCTTTCTCGAGCCATCAACAATATATCTCGATATAATAATAATATTATAATATTATTAAATTATTAATTATATCAAACGACGAACCACACTTATGAAGTAAATCCTCTAGCAACAATATCTCGAATATATATTATATTCGAGATTATATAAACAATATAGAGATACATAACAAAAACGAATAGTAAAAACGAATATAATGTATCATTAATCGATCATTAATCTTTTTAATTTGTGTTCAAATTGTTCATTCTTTGTTGTCAGAAACCGTTACAATCTACAACGCGTTTTCATTCTGAACGATCCCCCGAAAGAGCCATTCTTTATAATAATAATAGAATTAATTCAAAGTTTAATTTGTGTTGGTTGCCAAATTTGCTAAAATTATGAAGCGTCGTTTGCCTTAGTTTGGAAATCAAAAACATGTTGATTTGAAACTATTCAATCACCTCCATTAGGATGTGGCCGCAGGTTGCAGTTATTACTATCTATTTCTTTTTATATGAGCACTGGATAAGGGTCCTAGCAGCCCTTACCTAAATATGATCTAGTATGTGTCTAGTAGTTATGTTACATCTGAAAAGCAGGTTGAGGTTGAGCCATTTTCTGTCTGCCACCTTAATTCTGTTAACTTCTGCAGGTGCGGATAATAAATAACCAAGTGCAATCTTGAAGAAAATTTCATTAATCACCCGTAATTGCACAAAAAAAAGAGTCCTTGATATTTTATGGTACTGAGAAAAAGTATATTTCTTCATGGTCGATCTCACGTGCCGACTACACTCAGACGAAGCTTGTCTATGTGATGAAATTAAATTTCAGCTCATGACTTCATTTAACATCAAGTTCAGTACTTGCCTACAAACTCTTCAAAACAAACTCATTTAAAGTCTTGAAAACTTTTCGAAGGGCCTGCAAACTAAAAAATTCTACAAGAAATTAGTTACGGCAACGAGCTAAAACCGAAAAAGTTGGCTACTCGAGATTTTTTCTATTGAAAACACACTTTTTGTTCCTTTGACGAACAAAATGGATTCATTCCCAATTCCTCTCCATAATAATCCACATATATATACAAAAAAGACTGATTTTTATATGTATATGTGGATAATTTCTTAGATTGGTAGATTAAAGTTCACATCCATGTAGGAAAGGTAAAACATAAAAATAACTGTAACTTCTATTTACTGTATCTAACCCTGGGGTAACCATACTAGTTCGGTTAGGTTAATTGCAATAAAGTTGCATTGATATGTTTTAAAAATGTTTTATTATCATTAAATGTTAATGAGTAAATCCTAATAGCAGAATAATAAATATTTAGGGATTTCCAATAATTTTGGCCATTGTAGCGGCTAATGTAGCGCGCTACATTTTACTGTAGCGGTAGCGGTAGCGCCCGTTACAATCTAGTGGGTGTAGCGGTAGCGGTAGCGCCCGCTACATTTGAAGCATGTAGCGGTAGCGCCGCTACATTTCCAAGTAGCGCTGCCCAGCTCTGGTTATAAAATAAAAATTGCCTGTACAGTGGAAATTTTTTTCGATGAATAATTTACTGGGGTCAAGAAGTTTCAGCTCCGGCGTCACTATTCACTTACAGAGAAAATGTCTAAACATTTACATTGACAATAAAATGTTATTCCAGATGTTTGTTTGATACGCACCGAGGTCCGTTTATTTTCTTCAGTTGCGATGAATAACGATTTGGATAGTAAAATGTCAAAGTTCAGATTAAGTAACGTACAAATAGTAAAATTGAGAAATGACAATACAGAAGGCTGACGAATGTCACATTCTACGTGTATAGTGATTAAGGTACGGTGATCCTGAACAGCGTTTTGTTGAATAACATCTTGGTGCAAAAACCTAGGTTATACGGAAAAGAACCGCTCGTATTAAAGCATCTTATATTCTTGAAGATATTAGAAACTGATTGGGATCAACGATGTACCAACTGTAAAATTGTTGATTACGATTTTAAAACAAAAACGCAACATTAAATGCTTACAACAAAGAAGGAATTCATTTGCTTTTCGAGAACACTTACTTTGAATGATGACTCATGTAAATTATTAGGAAACGTTATACATTCGAGACCTGATATTCGTCCAAAATGTGTTGTACCGCTGCACCACAGTGGCTCTGAAATTAAATACAATGAATAGCGTGCTTTTATACTAGATATACACTAAAAAAAACAACAGGTCGTATTGTGACAAACATTTGCTCGTAGCTATGATATGACATTTCGTAATAAATTTGGGTCAAGATGACCCACACAATGAATCGCTATTTGAATTAAAATGAATCAATATTTGGATAAAAATGCATCGCTAATTGTACAAAGTCTCACTCATTTCCTTGAGTGTGGAATTTATTAATTTATTTTTAGCGAATTTATTTATTAGCGAGATGGCAGGAAAAGTTAAACCAAATAATTTAAAATTGTTCAGAATGTTCCAGGCACTCTAGCTAAATGCTAATCAGGCTATAATTAAAAATAATTATCTAAAGGATGTTTACGTCAAGCTCTGGTATTTTGCACGACTCACTGAAATATCACCGCCCCGCGATGCTGAAGAGGAACCCACGTCATCGAAACTTGTTGTTTATCCTCGGGACTTTTGTGCGATACTGAATTCTGCAGGACCAAAAATTACCCTGAATTAATTCTGTATGCGTACCTGAAATATATAATTGAACAGGAAAATGACAATTCTCTTGAACAATTAAAACACCAAGAAACAAGTCAGAACAAAATGAGCAATGAATATCTTATTTGAATAAACTTCAACAAGTAATATGATAGAGGCTATCGGAAGTGCATGATCCGTATACGTACACCCTCTTCGTCACAGCGCAGTATTTGCCCACCGCCTTGCACGTTCAAGAACTTGCCGACCCTCTGGTCGTCTTTGTCGCGGGCCTGCAGGAAGAAGCCACGAAAGGTTTCCGCCTCAGACGTCAGCGTTACTGCCGAACAAGAGGCGCGTTTGAGAATTGTGGTTACAAATTTTGTGTCAGGCCTGCGAAATTGAAAATATCGAAAATATATACCGTAAATATATACCGATATACCGTCTATATTGAAGAATGTAATCATGATTTGAAAAAAAGTTGTAATGGGCCGCAAGGCTACGTGTGACTCTGCAGTCATCCTTCCTACTGTGAAGTATGAAGTAGGTTTACTCCCATAATCAAGAGTTATTGTAACGGTTCAGGAATAATTTTATTTATCAAGTATTTGTAGCAAGGCAGGGTGACCCAATGGTTAAATTTTAGAGTACCGCGACTGGAACAGCGAGTTGCGGGCTCGATCCCAACTTCTGTGACAGTTGCGGTCTAATAGAGCGAGGTGGTCGGGCGGTCATGAACCGGCGACAGACCTCTATGGCTGTCGCCGGTTCTTACAACGCTGACACTGTAGTATAATAAAATATATAAGGCAGTCATACTGGGTTTGGTTACCTCTGATGGTGCTATTATCTTCCTTGCTGGCGTGGATGATGAACGGCGATGGGCTGCGCTGCGGTCCGAGGGTTAGGTGAAGAGGATACATGCTGTCGCATGCAAGACTTACGCTACCGCTGCTGAACCCTAAGCTTCCGCTCACAAAAAGCGTGACAGCTAGAAACACGCACGCAAGCAACGCGGCGTGTACACGGGGCATTTTTTCAATAATTAAGTATCCTTGAATTATCTACCCGAATTTAATCAAAGTCCCAGCCTATACAAATTTAATAGGTCAAAGAAAGCTTCACAGGATCCACATTGGCAACCTAACGTAAGTAATAGCTATTACCTGGAAGCCTTGTTTGTTATTTTATTTCGCGTCTCTTATATATTTCATTGTAACGTGTGTTCCTATGTGAATGAATAAATAAATCAAAAATCAAAATAAATATTGCAGATCAGTAAATGTGCGTACAGAAAAGAGTTGCCTCGGACAGCGCTACTGTTGAGTGCAAGGTCTGCATCCACACTGAAGGCTGGAACCCGTTTGTCAGCTCTCTATCCAGTTTGTTTGTTAAACAATAGAATACAAAATAAGAAATACCCTAATATATATATACGCAGTGCTTGGGAACAAACCTGGCCTAGAATGGAACTGTAAATCAAGTGACTTTCTACCCCGGATCAGGATAGAGGCAGAAAGAGAAATCGTGCTAATGTCTTAAGACGAGGTGTAGAAAGTAAGAGTATCGAAGTGATGTGAATATAAATTATTGGACAATATTCTGCTTGAAGCATCCTAATGAGCCTTAACGAGATTATTCAGCGAATCGGCTTGTTAACTGGCTTGTTTCGGGAAACAGACAAAAAATTTATGTATCAAATAATAATTGTACAATATTTAATTTAATTTAATTTATTGTACAATTATTAATTCAATTTAATTAAATTTTAATTTACAATTTAATTAATTGTACAATTATAATTGTATAATCATATATAATTGTAAATGTGTAGGTTACAGTGCTAAAATTAAATTTCCATTTATTCGTACTTTTTAAAATTTAATAAGGAAGTACTGACATTATAAATTTTCGTCGGACAACGCAATTAAAAAAATTATTCGTGGACTTTGTCCGGAAAAAAAGACCCTACAACCCACCGGTGAGTCTTGTCGAACTCGAGGTGTTAATAAAAGTGAAATGAAACGATACAAATTTTAAAAACCCCTCGTAGTCCAGGTTTTAATTTCTCTCGTCCACTTAAAAACTTTGAACATCAAATCAACAATCAGTGTAACCATTGGAATGTTTAAGTAATCAGTACCAAATCTCCACGTCGTTTGTCAAAGATTAAACTCTATTGCCCCGACGCCTCGTGCAGATCTCACCACTGACTGCATTGAGGCCGCGGACTTGAAAGAAAACTCGTTGACCTGATGACATCCTGCGCAGTTCAAAGTGAAAGCAGGGACAATTTCCTGTGATTTTCTTCGGTCAGTTTGCCTTATTGCTTGGCAGCGTTTTCTGGGATTAGTTTGCTAGCGTCCTACTAGACGAGTCAGTCGAAGAATTTACTTTTCTTCGGGATCTCTGTCGGCTACGGTAAACGATTTTTCATTTAAGTAAACATTTTATCAAAATTTCGTTTAGTGAATTCTAAATTATCCGTAGAATTATTTTACCCAACACAGTAAATAAGAAAATTGTCTGAAATTTGCCATAATACAGATTTTATTTTAGAAATCATGCGACGTTGTACAGTTATGATTAATTTATCATTATAGGTGCAATTTTCATTTTACATATATACATTTCATTTTATAAAAAAAATCGAAAAAATCCCTGAATTTGTAGAATTTTCTAAAAGCTCCTGCTATTAGAAGAAAAAGTTTCAGGAACTCGTACTGCTGAACCTTAAATAAGTAGAGGAATACCTCATCATATTCGAGCATGCATAAACAACACACAGAAAACTTCATGCCAGAACTCTATTTGTCACGTGGTTCACTCACCTAGCTAATTGGGAGTCAGGTAGGAGCAAGCCATACAGCTTTCTCACTGCTAATGTTGCACCTAAATTGCTTGGGTTCTTTCATATTTAATCCCGGCTCACTTAGAAAGCCCGACCTTGTCTGACTCTTTATTTACTAGCAGTTCTCTAACGACTTACCTGTGTACAGCAAATAGGAAATAATAGCATGTTAACTCCACTAGTACAGATAACGACACTTTCGTCACAAGTCATTGAGTACTTACTTCTGGAATATAAAGTGGATTTGATATTTTCTTCCCCAATTTATTCTGCAGAAAATCAATATGCAAGGCAGTGTTAACAAGAATATTGACATCAAAGAAGTTGATTTGCAATTACTCGATTTAAAAAATTTCTTTCCATTTCACGCTAATTTAAAGTAAGACATTTTTCTGATCTGAACCAACTGCGTACCGCCTTATTTTCATTCCATCTCTATGAACAAATTTATTTGCGGAAGTGACATCTTATTTCTCCAGAATTTGCTTCCCTGTGTCGGTCATTAATAAATAAATTACAACTTGCCTCGACGGAGGAAGCAACGAGGTTATCATGATTAAAAAATGAAGAAAAATAACGAATTTAACCAAAAACAAAGTAATTGCTACCTTGAGGTTAAATGTAGCGACTATGGAGACTTGTTTTCCTACACAGCTAATATAATGCATTTAAATCAGATGCAACGACATCTACATAGTAAAATGAGGTAGATTTTGCAACTTCATCGTCATAACATTGGTTACAAAACATGAAAAAAATAACGCTGTGATATTTTTTGGAATACTACTTCAAATTATGAATAAGCTTAAGCGATTTAAGATATGTGACTTGATGTTCTTAATGTTGCAAAGCAGACTCACCACTTGATACTGACGCTTCATTTCAAAGTTTTTCTTTAAAAAACATTTGAAGTAGGTCTTCCCTTGAAGTATCTGCATGGAGCGTCATTGACAGAAATGTTACTTGATATGTGATGAGATGCAGTTCACATAAAAATGATGTAGTAAATAGAGCCGGGCTGCAACTGGAGGAGGTTCAGATTGAATAATCGATGCAAGTCTCGGCGCTGACGGGAGATTGATGACCTCGAAAGGTAAATGTTGAAACCTGGGGCCACATTGAAGCGCTCGAAAATTTTGAACTCTCCCTTAGACGTAACGTCACTTGTATTTTGCAAAGTTAACTCCTGATCAGACGCACTATTCTCTTCCTAAAAAGCCATCATTATATAATTGTCAGAGAAATGGCGGATTAAAATTGATTATAAAAATTGAATGCATATGCCTATGAACTTTTACAACGAAGGACGAAGTGAATCAATTAATTTCAATGCTCGGTGTCACTGCAATATATATGTGTCTACCCGTTGTTACAAATAAGTTATGACAATAATTATAGTTCCAATTTTGAATCACTATGTGCCGTTAGTTGCGTGAAAACTAATCCAAGTTGATCTATTAAAATCATTGGATGACTTTTTAAAACGAGATGCACATGTTTCCCTGCAGCCTTAATTTTCATGTTTTCAATCAGCAAACGACTCGAATCAGCAATTTACGCTCTCGAGTAATATTTTCGACGCACGTCTTCTATTAAAATATCCCAACCTCATTATTCTTACATGTGAGAAGAACTAGAAATGTTTCCTCAGGCCTCAGCTTGGAAAAAACAAACTGTGATATCTAAAGTAATTTCCGGTAGCTGCCCAAGACAGCGAGCAAATATCCTAGGAGCCAACCTTTAACATCAAAAGAGCTGGATCACTTTTCTTGAACAAGAAGAATACAAGGCTGGCAATTTAGTGAACAACAGTGCCAAAACTGTTTGATCTGCTCCCTTTAAAATCTGTTGTGACAAGCATCGAAACATTCCAAGCCGCACTATGTCCAAAATTATACACTGTTAGAAAAACGGTGAAACAACGGTCACACTGGCGTTCTAGTGGCCGGTCACCCCGCGAAAATAAACTGTTTATCCGTTTTTATCAGATGTTTTACTGATTTCTAGTGTTAAATTAGAATAAAAACGGCGACACGGTGTTTCTTTTCACGTGCCGACCGGCCACTGAGACGCCGGTAATACCGTTAACGGTATTTTTTCTAACAGTGTAGTTAAATTCGGAGCCACCATGCACGATGATGAGTTACAGTAACGTGCCATCATCATAGCCCCCACAAATCAAGCAGTAGCGCACTTCATGCAGTTTAATATAGCTAATTGTACAACATTAAATATGAACAGCGTCATAAATTCAGCAAAAGGGTGGAAATCAGCACCTCGTTGAGACTTGACGGAGCTGTGGCGCAGGGAAGATTATTGTGATCACTTCGACTGAGTGGTTAATCGATTAAATATAGTAAAACCACAATCTGTAGAACAATTCAAAACGTAAAATTATAAGAAATTTGAATAAAATCTCTTGCAAAGGATCAATAATGCGAGTGATGTTACTTATATACACTTTATTTACTTTGAAGTCCAGCAACACACATTTTTGCCGCATTAAAAAAAAAAGAAAAACTACTAAATAAGGCGACTAACAGCATTTTAATTTAGTTATACTGTGTGTTGAAGCCTCTCAAAAGAAAAAGCCTAGAAGCGAGAACAAACTTCGAAATAAATCACTAAAATGTAAATTAGGTTTTCCACAGCCCTGACACAGTCTAACACATTATTACAGCGTTAAATGTGCAATGTGCATGCCTGTTTACTTCCACGAACTACCGCAAAATTCATGCAAATTTGAAACTCTGACATAGATTGCACGGCTTCTACTCTCTCAAATAAGCAGGAGTTTAAATAAGCAAAAATTCTCTAGCAGTAAACACCAATTATACCTTAACATTAGGGTTGCTATTTCTGACGATTCAAATTGCATGGCAATAGGTCGTATTTTTTTCAGGAATGGATTTAAAAAATTGTTCAATTAAAATTACCGTCTGTACGTATGTGTAAATAATTCTGTAAATTTCAAAGATTTTCCCTGAAATTAATTCACAAACAATCTATCATCAATCTACGAATTATTCAGGAATAATGAGAGCTCAGGTGAGCTGTAGAAATATCACCTCAAATACTATTGTCCGACAACAAGCCGGGCGTAACAGAAGCTCTCGTGTGATGTGCTGAGCAGGTCCCAAATTACGCTCGCAAATTACGATGCGCCGAGAATGTTCTCAAAAATATGAAACAACGCGGCTGAATATTCATTCAAAGAAACAGGCGAGATTCGATTGCATGAGATACCTCCCCAAATTTGAAGGGTGCGTCAAATTGAAATATCCTCCTTTTTAAATGATGAGATTTCGGAATACGTTGATGGTTAGAATGATGCATTTCCAAAGTAAATTGTTAATTCCGCATAATGAAACATTTATC